GTATTTGCTGAGAATTTTGTTCACACAAACTTAGAATTTTGCTTAAACAAACTATATAATTTATCATATCCATCACTTCAATTACATTTCATCTATAAAATACATTACTAAACAGTGAAAGTGTACAAAGAACATTAACCCTATTGTAAATAGAATTATTGTAATAAATATCTCAAAATAAACAAACTTCGAATGTTATGAAGTGTTTTATTATATCCCATGATAGATACCAAAATGTTTATCCTAATTTTGAGAATAGACCTAGTTTAGAAACATTTAAATGTATTTACGATGTTTAATGATGTGTAAAAGTTTATTTATAAAGAGGAAAACACTTATCTCCACTTTATTTGCTTAGAAGTAATTAAGTAATGATATTGTTATTGGAGTTTCTTATTTGAAGTGTCTAATCTCAAATATTATATTACTAACTTTTTGTATATAGAGACTGCAATCTGATTTCCCATACCATACCAATATGTATCAGTCATAAAAAAATTAAAAACACTTTGAACCACTTATCTAAAATGTTATCAAAACTATAACTAATTTATCTTACTTTTATAACATTTTCATTAACCTTAAACCCCAACTTCACTAACCTCACAAAAAATATTAAACATGTATATAAGATATTTTGGTAATCAATTAAACATTATACTAATAGAGATTTACTTTTCCTCCATAAACATCATATGCAAAGCCTTAACGTATGTATCACATCCTATAAACCAATTCGAGAAAAAAAAAACTTACTCAAAAACTACTTCTGTTTGATAAAAAGTATTCTACTATCCAATATTATCTCTAAGGTGAATTCATATATAAAATAAAATGAATAATTATTTAAAACATATAGAGAAAAGACAAAATATAAATTTTTAAAAAGATTATATGACCAACTATTTGAATAATAATATTTTTTATTTATACTAAATTTATCTGAAATAATAAAATATTTATGTTTCATCTCATTTAAAACAATTATACGTATCCTCAAACAAATTAATTTGGTTCTTACATTTTCATTTTAAAATTTTACTTTCATTTTATTTATCTATTTTTTAGTATTATATGTAAGTTAAAATATATTTTTTAAAATATATTATTTAAAAAATTAATTTAATGCATTAATAATAAAAAAATATTATTCTTATAACAAAAAGAATTACCATTATTCATATTTTTATATTTTAATAGTAATGAAATAACAGAAGATAAAAGAGACAAAAAAAAAATCAACAAATACACTCATCTTAAATCAATCCACCAAATGCCAGTCCGGTAATAATTTGTAATTGTTTTTCAGGACTTAGATGTATCCTAACATATATGGAAGTTATCATTCTTGGCTCTCAAGCATAGAGAGGTCTCATTCTGTGGGACACTACACTTTGACCTTCTGCTTCTTTCTTTGGATTTTCATCTTATCAATGTTAGTTTATCCATATGATTAATCAGTACTTCACTGTCATATTAAAACCAATGCCATACATATTTTTTAATACACTATGCACAAAAAGTTTAAGTTACTACTGTACGATCAAAATAGTTCAGTTGATTGTGAAAGGTTGCATTTTTATTTATAAGATATAAAGATAATAATAAAATAACAAAAATAATATCTAATCTATCTATTAATTATAAATCAGATTTCGGTTCAATTTTTGGATCCAATATTCAAAGTTGGCTTTCAAAGGTCTACAGACGATTCATAGATATGTTAGCAAGATTGCTCATCGGCCCAACAACAATGCGTGCTTTCATTTTTCTTTTTAATCTTTTTTTCTCATACTCGTATTCTCGGTCAGATCATTAATCAAAATTAAGACAAATACACTAAGGTGGATTATATCCTGAAGATTAATAATAAGATGATGACACACATTATAAGACTAAAATAATTATAAAAAAAAAATTGTATTTTTCTTGATTGAGTTTCCTGAGATAAGATGAGATGGTGTGTGGTAACGTGAATGGTGAGCAGTTGGTGGAAAGAAACTTGCTTATCAGAGCAACATGTGAATGCCGACAACACTTTCACAGATGAATAGAAAAAGAGAGTGAGAAAAACAGGAGTGATGATACACTTGCCAAACCGAACCAATACGTAACAAAAAGTGAATTCATCAAAATAAAATAAATGTATATTAAAAAAAAAAAAAAACAGAAAACAGCTGAGCTCCATGTATGGTAGATGCATAGTCCACCCAGAACTACAAGCTGATTCCAGAAAAAGCTTATGTATTTATTTAGCAATGACTCACTAGAAAGATAAAAGAGGAGAATCATAATCTATGTTGTGGAGAACCTGGGAGGGACCTGTCTGTCTCGGTATACGCAACCCAATAAAATAGTACACATGTGCCACATGCAGCAGCACTGGGTCACTGCAATGGTGATTAATCAGTGCTCTGTGAGGCCAGATCCTTAGCCTCCACAAAGGTCCCATGAAACCCATAGGGCACTCGGGTTGGCAGAATCACAGTAGCCTCCAACTTCAAGTCCACGCCATTCAAAATCTGCAACTCAGACTGCCATCTCATCTCATCATGCACAAAAGCCATAACGTACCCTTCATCTTCGTCTCCTCCGTCGCCTGTGGGCAAAAAGAATGGCTCTCCACCAAACCTTCTCTCTCCGTATTCGTGTTTCATCACCTCTCCACTCACCAGGTTCACCTTTGCCAAACCAGATACCTTTGGCCACGGTTCGGCAATAGCCATGTACGCGAACCAAGTTTTCCTCCCCAGTCGCTTCCAGTTTACCATCCCAATTTCCAGGTTCATGTTGGGAACCAGAACTCTGCGCCTCGAGGATCCTGTTCTCAGATTCAGTCTTATTTCTGTTAAGATGGTCCTCAGATTTTCCTCGCTATCATTGAAGACGGAATCCGGGGGCGTCATGCATGACCCGATTATCACCACCTCCTCTGTGTCGCGTTCCTCCCACGCATTGACGAGGTGGAAGCAGAACGTATCCGGCGACTCCACCCACAAGATGCTCGACTCGTCTGTGGCGTGCTTAGGGAGGACGCCGAACCGCGATGTCTTCTTGCCGTCGTACATCACCGGTGAACCTCCATTTAACATTTGGCTCAGTTTGAAAACCACCTGTTGGTCGGGGATTACCGCGAAATTCTCCGTGATCGCAAAGTCGTGCGTCATCGTCGGAATGTCGAGCCGGATTTCGACGTCTGGTGACTTCACCTCCTTCGGCGAGAAATTAAAGTACCTGAGGCAGGGACTGGTAATGTCGTAACTCAGAGAGAAAAGCTCTCCGGAGATAGGATCAATCTTAGGGTGCGCGATCATAGAGGAATCCAGTTGGTCGTGGAAGCTGTAACGACCGACTGTTTGGAGGTCACCGGAAGCGGTAACTCGAAGCTCGTAGGGGAGATCGTCTTCGGACATGGCGAGGAGTTTTCCGTTGAAGAAAACGAGGCCAGCGTTAGCGGCGCCGGCGCCACGGCGGTGGTCGACGATGCCACAAAGACCTCGAGCGTAGAAGAGAAGAAGCCTGGCGATGCCCGAAATGCCATGGAGTTGGCCGATTGCTTTGGGGAACACTGGTTTTCCCAGTTGGTGCTCTTGCATGAGTCTCTGCGTTTGGGTGAAGCGGCATGCGTAGCTTGCAGTGCCGTCATTGATTTTAACGGCGTGGACCATGCCGTCGCCGTCGAAGAGGTGGTGTCCGGACTTGGGCTGGAACAATGGGTTGGCGCCGTTACGAAGATAGACCCCATTAATTTCCTCGGGGATTGTGCCGATTACGGGTAAGGAATGTTGGACAGGGTGTTCAGGGACGGGGGCGTAGTTTCCGGCGAGTTGGACGCGTGGGTCCGTGGTTTTGGAGAGAGGTTGTCGAAGCTCGCGTGCAAGCAACGCGCTCTCGAATATGTCTAGGGCCATTGCTGCGGCTTTTTGGAATGGGTTCAACTGAATCCTTTTGGGAGAGTCTGTCGTCAACGCAGGGGTGGTGGGTTCTTGGGTAATTTGAGATTTATCTCGGGGTTGTTTTGGGAAATTGATGACTGAGGGAGATTGTAGAGCACAATCTACCACCTTTCTAATGGGCTTCTTCTGAATCCTTGTGGTGCAGCCCAAATCTGTTAATGATGAAGAGTACGAGGAGAGTGGATGTTTGGCACAAGAGGAAGAGTTCAGTGTGATCATCATCATGACGATGACGATGACGATGACGCTGATGGAGATTGTGGCGTGTTTCAAGGAAAAATAATGAAAGAGACTGAAAGTAAGAAGGAATTTTAGGGAAGAAGGGTGGGGAAATTGCATACATATATAGAGAGAATGTCGAAGAGAGATAACAAAAAGAAAACAACTAATTTTATTTTAAGGTCTGCTGTCTTATAAAGAAAATAAAATAAAATAAATTATCACTTTCAAAATTAATACATTAATTAAATATTTATATAGGTAAGTTTTTATTTCTAAATGATTAAATAAATTTTTGTACTTCAAAATAATCATCATATACGTTATTTTAATACTATATTTATAATATTTAACGTTTGTGTCGGGGCAGGGTAATTCTGCTTGGGATTGCTTCCAGCCATCCGCTCCAACAAGAACAGTCCTCAATGCAGGACAATTTGAATTTTACTTCTACAGTTTTTGTCTTTTCTTAATTATGGAATATCTATAACTATTAATTATGTCATTAATGCGTTAAATATATATTTTTATTATTTTAGCTTTATCAAATTTAGATAAAAATAAATAAAAAGGTTAAACAATTTTATTGGTCTCCATTTTGTACAAAATTTCAAATCAGTCTTTGTATTTTTATTTATTTTAATTTAGTGTTTAATTTAAAAAAAAAATTGATACAATCATATCTTTATCGTTAAATTCATTACAATGACCTTTGAAGATTATGAGATGAACAACGTCACATTTGATTTTGAAACATTGTGCAGCACACATGTTAATAGATGTTTTTCAACGAGTCAAATAATTCTCCTATTTCATTAAAGTCTTAAATTTCTTCAACGTTCTTCGATATGTTATTTTTTTTTTATTTCATGTTATTTGGTTCTATTATATGATTATAATTAATAAAAAATTACTTTTATGATTATTATTTTATGTGACTTTTTTACACCTATGAATTTTAATAATAATTTTTATTTTAATAGTTATGATATTAATTATTTTTTTATTTATGATTTCTTTTTTATAAAAAAATTTGCACTCGTACACGCATACATATAATCTGGCACTAGATAGTAATTTTGTTTATTAATATTAGATTTCACTAGATAGTATTAGTAAAATATATTTATAAACCCTTTTTTTTTTTTACTTAAAAGCAGGTCATCGTGGAGTAAAAATAAAACACAAAGTATAAGAAAAATTAAAAAAACATAAAGGTTTATTTAAAGGCAGGTCATATAGAAGGAATAAAACATGAAGTATAAGGAGAATCAAAATAATAAAGGAAGATATTAAAGGAGGAAATTTGTTTAAGTTAAAATGGGACAGCCTGTCAAAAAGAATAAATATTAAGAATAAGGAAATTGAAAATAAAATCAATTCATTAAATGAGCATAAATCATAGTGTGCAAATTGAAGACAAAAACATATTATTTACTATATGTATTAAGCCATATATTAAATGCATTTAATATATGTATGCATAAAGTTAATATTAATTATTATTTAATGTTTAATTAGTGCTCTTTCAGAATTTTCTTTGTGTGAAATTTGTAACCGTAAGGATTTGATTATAGAGAAAAGTATAGTAAATATATATAGATGAAAAATAAATAAATTTCTCTCGTGTTTATGTATATAAAAAGACTTAATTAAAGGTCAATTTTTGTTTTAAATTTGAGTATTTTCGATTATTTTTTTAATTTTGTTTATTGAGTATTCAATTTTTTTATTTGATTTTCTCTTTGTTAACTTTTTTTTTTCATTAAATAGGTTAGTGGATGGTATCTTGTTTTGTAGTCTTGTTTAGTTGTTTTTACATGTTAGCCATGTGAGACATTTTAGTTAATATAAAACAATATTGTGGTTAAGGTGAAAAAACTATTGGTTGGTATTGTTTTTTATTAAAAATGTGTTAAAATAAGTGTAGTTTTCGTGGATATTTCTTTTGTCGCACGTTAGGTGATGACAAGGAAGACATTTGAGATAATTAAAAATATTTAATAAATATTCAAATAAAAATAATCAAATTTATTGTTGGGCACAATCTTTATGTATGTTTTGAAACAAATTTAATTGAAGTTCTCATAATAATTTGTTGGGAATCCAAGTGTGAGTCCAAGTCTCACATTGAATAAAAATAAGAAAGTAGAACACTATATAAAGGTGAATGACCCATTAATCCATTGTTGTGAACCCTCCTTAATAGACAGTGTTATCAGAGTCGATGGTTTGTCTTGGTGACTGGCTCAAATGAGTATAATGGTCCCTATATCGAAAGCCTTCCTAGCAAAGGGTTACTAGTGGTTGTAGTTGGTTGGAAATGCTTCCGCTAAAGACCCATTGCCTTAAGATTTTTGGTAGAGAGTGGTATCAATCCCTTATATGGTTGGACTCAGATCTCATTGGTGTTTGTATTTTCTCGGTGAACCCCTCCTTAATAGACCTAACAACTTGGTGGGTTGATTATAAATGTACAATTCATGTTTTTAGTATGATGTATAAAATCCTTTCAACTAAACCATAAACCTAAATGTGAAATTTGTCTTCATGGGAAATAGAATGAAGGTTCCAGTGGAAGCTACCAGGACTTATATCGCACAATCTTTGATATTGGATTTCATTTAGACTTGACTAATACTTTTTATGCACCTATTATTTCTAGGGATTTAGTTTCTTTGTCGAAACTTGATGTCTTGAATTTTTTATAAGTTTAGGAATTTTACGGTGATTTATGTGAATTGAATTTTGGCAATTTATATGTTGAAATTTTTATGACCTTGCATCATGTTTTGCTTTTACTTGTGTGCATAAACATTTGGGACTCATTTTCAAAGAAGGTGTGACGTCCTAATTTATTTTTTCTTCATTTATCTTAGAAAATTATAACATCTTCATTATTTATCAAAATATTTCACAACATTTTTTTTATTTCCATAAAGTTGGTATTTTACATATATGCATACCATAATTATACATAATAGACTTATAATACATATATCATAATCTTTCAAGAATTTCATTCATCTTGTTTGTCACATATTTAACTTGTTTTGATCAAACAAACATTTGAGACTCTTATCATCATAGACATAATGTTTCCATATTTTAAGTGCAAAAACAATGGCAGATAGTTCTAAATTATGGTCTGGATCATTTTTCTCATGTGTTCTTAGATGCTTAGAAGCATATGCAACTATCTTTCTATCTTGTATAAGAACACATCCTATCCAATTTTCAAAGCATCACAAAATGTCCATTAGGATCAAGTAAAGTTAAAATAAGAGAAGTGGTTAATCTTTTATTGAGTTCTTGATAACTATTTTCACAGTTTTCTATCCATACAAAAGTTTGACCCTTTTTAGTGAGTTGAGTTAAAGGCATCACTATTTTAGAAAATCAATTTTCTGAAATATCCTACAAAACCAAGGAAACCATGAATATGAATCAAGGTTTTTAGTCGTTCCCATTGTAAAATTGATTCTACTTTGGTTGGATTTACCAACACTCCTTTAGAAATTACATGTTCTGAGAATTTCACTTCTTCTAACCAAATATAGCACTTAGACAATTTAGCATACAATTGTTTATCTTTCAAAATCTATAAGACATTAGAAGGTGTTCCTCATGCTTTTCAAGAGTCTTAGAATAAATAAGAGTGTCATTTGTAAAAACAACTACAAAATAATATAAAAATGGACGAAAAATCTTATTTATATAATCCATAAATACTGCAGGAGCATCAGTAACACCAAAAGACATTGATACTCATAATGACCATACCTAGTTCTAAATGCAGATTTTTTGTATGTCTTCTGCTTTTACACTAATATGAAGATATTCTAACCTCAAATCTAATTTTGAAAATATAGAGGCTCCTTTCAATTAGTCCATTAAATAATCTATTTTTGGAAGAGGGTGTTTATTCTTTATGCTAAATTTATTTAACTAAACGTAATCTACACATAACCTAAAACTTCCATCTTCTTTTTAAACTAACAAAATTGGTGTTCCCCAAGGTGACACACTAGGATGAATGAACTGTTTTTCAATTAACTCTTTCAATTGTTTCTTTAGTTCATCTAATTCAAAGGGTGACGTCCTATATGGTGCTATAAAGACTAGTCCATTTTCAGGCATTAAATCTATGGAAAATTTAATTTCTTTATTAGGTGGTAAACCAAGAGTATCATTGAGAAAAACTTCAGGAAAATTTTGAACAACTGTTATAGTTTTTAAATCAACTTCCTCTTTTATTTTCATAAAAGATAATAACAAATATTCTTGAATTTCATTCCTGAAGGGCTTACTTACTAAGTCGACAGGTGATTTTAAAAGATTTTCAGAGTTTGGAAATATTACTGATTTCTCGACACAACTCAAAAGGACTTGATTGAAAGATACCAGTTCATACCTAAGATCAAGTCTAATTGAGACAAAGGTAGACAAACTAAATTTACAAGGAATTTTCTATTTTGAATAAATAAAGGACAATTTAAACAAACTTTACTAGTAATTACAGATTTACTTATGGGAGATGAAACAACTAACATAGTGTCTAGAAAAGAGGTCGACAAGTTAAGGTATTGAATGTAATTGTTGGAAAGGAATGAGTCTGTTGCACCTAAGTCATACATTACATTTAAAGTTTTTCCTTTAATAAAACACATACCTTAAATTAGATAATGGGTTTTCAGTATCTCTAGCTCCAATCATAGCATAAACTCTTCTTGTTGTGGTAGGTCTTGCCTTGGTGCAACAAGATTAAAATATGACTTATGTTATCCACACTCAGAGAATATGTTACTAGGTTTTCCATACTTGAAATAAGATGACAATCTTTAGTATAATGACCTTGTTCGTATTTAAAGCATTTAATATTATTATTCACATGTTTACTATAATTTCATATTTGGTTGGGTTGAAACCTCACTTGGAAGCAATTACAAGATTTTCTCTCATGTTTTCTTTTTTACTTATTTGAGGTCCAAAAATGTCTTTCATTT